GAAAAACTATACTAGTAACTGTATGTAACATAATACAATGATATAAATGATATACAATAAGAATAAAATGAGATGAATCAGAACATTGAAGAATTAAAATTAAATGATTAAAAATAAATAAGTGACTAAAATTATTTTTTTATAAATTGATTGAAATTATCAATGATTATAGAATATAATAATATATACATATATTTTATAATAAAAGAGTTTAAAAAATAAAAGATAAATATCGTTTATATTAATAATATTTGATGATGCAATCAAAAAAAGTTAACAAATGTTGATTTATTCGACATAATGGAGATTTTTATAATCTGCGTGATACTGAAAAACTTTTTTCTGAATTTCTGCAGTAGTTCATTTGTTTCTCTTAAAACACTTAAAATGGAACTGGTTTTGAATAGTCTACTATTCTCAAGTGATGTTATGTATGTGATTTAGTTTTCTAAAATTATTTATTATAGATAATTAAATTTAAACGTGTAATCCAACTGGAATTTTATGATAAATTTATATGTTAATTAATAAATTTATATCTGTTTCTTAAGTGATCAGTATTTTTAAGATGTTTAAATGGAAATTCAATTTGTTTTTAGATTTGCAATATGCTAGAATTTCATAGTCATAGTTCAAATCATTTTGATAAATGTTTCTGAATTTAATAAGTTTATTTGTGATTAATCAGATGTGGTAATATTCTTTTAAAAATAAATAATATTTTATATATTATTATATTTCGAACGATTATTAATATTTTTAAATTCATTCTATATTATCTTTATGAAAATTATTCATTAATGATAAATAATACAGAATTTAATATAGCATTTCTTGCATTTTTTTATAATTTTTCTTGCATTGTATTGAGATTTTAAAAACATAGAATTTTGAATTATAGTTTTATAACCAAGATTCGATAGTTTTAGTTTTTCGATAAGTTTTTTGTATAATTTGAATTTCGTTCTTCGGAAATAAAATAATAAAATAATCCACTGTTTATACTGTAATAGATTTGTCAACTCCTTTTTCTATA